TACTACATAACTGAAAGCTACAAACTGACAATAATTACATATTGTCATCAATTACTACATAACTGAAAGCTACAAACTGACAATAATTACATATTGTCACCAATTACTACATAACCGAAAGCTACAGACTGACAATAATTACATATTGTCATCAATTACTACATAACCGAAAGCTACAAACTGACAATAATTACATATTGTCATCAATTACTACATAACCGAAAGCTACAAACTGACAATAATTACATATTGTCATAAATGAGTACATAACTGAAAGCTACAAACTGACAATAATTACATATTGTCATAAATGAGTACATAACTAAAACCTGTAATGATTAGAATGTATTAAAATATCATTGTAGAACCCTTTCTTTGTAAAGATATTTTTGGCCGTTAATTCGGTACTATCTCTCTAGATTTAGCCATTTTGGAGGTTTCGATTAGTTCTATACTCACACGGACATCCGTATTTAACATCTTGATGTGCGGAAGTCTTGCAACATCCGTATTTAACATCTTGATGTGCGGAAGTCTTGCTACATCCGTATTTAACATCTTGATGTGCGGAAGTCTTGCTACATCCGTATTTAACATCTTGATGTGCTAAAAATTTCCTACACTTCTTTTTTTCTTAAAATGTAGTTTTGTCCGTCTATTTACGGGGTTAATGTTAATGTTGAACTTGAGAGTCAGATTAGCTTCGTTTTTAAATTAATATTTGTGGTTTTTGTGTTTTTAAATGATGACACACTTAATCTTTCTTTAAATTAGTTTTGTATATACTGTTAGTCATAAAAATATACATCATTCACAATATTATGATTTATACTAATGAAAATTATTTTGTAGCTAAGACAATATTAACATATAAACAACCGTTGTATCAATGTTTTATGAATTTTCACAACTATTCTATAAAAAAAACCTACTTTGTTGGGGTTCACGTGCCAGCTACGCCGCCTAGCGTGTCTTACACCTGGTCCTGGATACGTTCCTGCTACGATGGGTGCCTCTCCCGATATAGCAGCAACACCTCCCGCGAAGCCCATGCCGGAGGGGTCGTACATACCAGGGAGAAGGCGTAGGCGATTCCCTGGAGCGATGCCCTGTCGCCCTCGCAGCGAACATAACCACCATCCCTCCAAGCCCTGGGTGTTCTGTTCCAAAACCGTCAAGACATCTCCCTTCCGGAAAGCTATCTCGTCTGGTGCTTCTGCTATATTGTCGTAGAGTGCCTTGGCCAAGCAATTCTAGGAAATTATTACCCAATTAGTCATACCTTTAACGATTAATTACAATATATATATAGTTGATAATTTCGATATATGCCCATGGTTTTATTTTATAACATATTAAATAAGTACATCCATATGAAAAACTAAAAGCTACTATAATCATCGGCCACTATTGTAACATTAAATACAGTATATCGTGTTGAATTTTTCCAAGTACTAACGTAATATGTATCATCAACCATCTTTCAATCCGATGTTCGATATACAAACGTTTGGTTAAATACCTTAAAATATCAGGCATACAGTATTCTGCCACTGATTGAATTTCAACTTTTTTATATTATGATGTAACGTTGCAATCAGTGTTATATATAAAATATTGTTGTTCTTCAACTTTATATAAAAATTTAAAAAGAAATAAAAAAACAGAGTAGCTGGGTTAAATATTAGTACACATTTTGGTTAATATGCTATGTAATTTTTTTACAGTAATAATGTGCTCAAATAAATCATTTGTGTTTCATATTTTTAATACCAAATGTATTTCAAAAATTCCCAGAAACGTTTTGTAAATAATGACAACCGGTACTTGCCACTCGTTCTTCTATTGCCTGCAGTCAGATTAAGTAAATATGACTTAGCTAATACGTATTGCCCTCAATATTATGCATAATGTCAAAAAAGCAAGTTCTCATGAAAGCTTTCTTCAAACCGACCAGATGGTTCAGACGAGTTTTAAAGAAGGAAAAACTAACAGTTTATAGCGCAAACTAAAACAGTTTAAATAGTAAAAAATACATTTGTGACTTAAAACAAATACACACACACACACATTTATATTAACTTACGTTCAAATACTTTTAAGGCATCACAAATAATTAAATAACAGTCACGTGATTCCACTAGGCCTAACCCAATTACGTAAAAATAAAATCACAGATCTAACACTAACTCGCTTACTAACCTACTGAAATCCGATAAAGCCTCCATACTAATCCATGTTTAAAACTTACTTCATACTTTTTGCTAACTTTTAGTCGTTCAGCAGTTCTTCAAACACAAACAATACCCTCGTTATTATTTACATGCTCATTTTCTAGCAACAATTTGTAGTAACTGTTACTCGAGAATAAATTTTAAAATTCGGGGAAAACTCCCGTGTCCCCGCTATTCAAAGTACGACTTCTGCCGTCTTACATTAACGCACATTATTATGAACCAATTAATAATAAAGCCTAAACAAATTTTGTTTTCGTTTGTAACAAGTAATTTACATAGCACAAATTTACTTAATATTCCATTGTATAATACCGCCCCTCCATAAAATATGAAACACCTGGCAGAACTTCATTAATATCATATTACACTTCTTAACTTATCAACGAAACAAGTCTATCACGGAAATTTCCTTGGTGAAATATCGACATCATTGCAACATCTGTATTTAACATCTTGATGTGCGGAAGTCTTGCTACATCTGTATTTAACATCTTGATGTGCGGAAGTCTTGCGACATCCGAATTTAAAATCTTGATGTGCGGAAGTCTTGCTACATCCGTATTTAACATCTTGATGTGCGGACGTCTTGCTACATCCGTATTTAACATCTTGATGTGCGGAAGTCTTGCGACATCTGTATTTAACATCTTGATGTGCGGAAGTCTTGCGACATCTGTATTTAACATCTTGATGTGCGGAAGTCTTGCTACATCCGTATTTAACATCTTGATGTGCGGAAGTCTTGCTACATCCGTATTTAACATCTTGATGTGCGGAAGTCTTGCTCTCCTCGAGTATTTCTGGATATGGGAACACAGATACATATGTGTGGTGTGCAGCTTATGTATAATGTGTTCATGTTATATACGCATCTCCTCGAGTATTTCTGGATATGGGAACACAGATATATATGTGTGGTGTGCAGCTTATGTATAATGTGTTCATGTTATATACGCATCTCCTCGAGTATTTCTGGATATGGGAACACAGATACATATGTGTGCAGCTTATGCATAATGTGTTCATGTTATATACGCATTATTGCGTATATAACATGAACACATTATACATAAGCTGCACACCACACATATGTATCTGTGTTCCCATATCGAGAAATACTCGAGGAGATGCGTATATAACATGAACACATTATACATAAGCTGCACACATATGTATCTGTGTTCCCATATCCAGAAATACTCGAGGAGATGCGTATATAACATGAACACATTATACATAAGCTGCACACCACACATATCTGTGTTCCCATATCCAGAAATACTCGAGGAGATGCGTATATAACATGAACACATTATACATAAGCTGCACACATATGTATCTGTGTTCCCATATCCAGAAATACTCGAGGAGATGCGTATATAACATGAACACATTATACATA